ATTTCAACTATAACGAAAAGTGATATGCAAACACAAATGTGCACAGGTCACCTTCAACAATTCGTCTTAATGCTCAAATATGTAGACGGTGACATTATCTTAAGGAATATTCAAGATGAAACTAAGAAAAGTGTTACGTACTTCTTTCTGTCAGATGAATAATTGGAAAAGATGACGAAGAGCATCAACTGAATCGAAACTGGGATTGCGAATGGCACGGCCGTTTCAATGATCAGACGCATTTCATCATCCATCGCGTGTTCACTTCAACTATTTTGTTTAATTTTAACCATAAAAACATCAATCACATGATTCTTGCACTACTCACTTATGTGGGATGAAGTTAATACCAGATGCAGCGGATTTCGTCTTCCAGAACTCAACCATAGCTTCTCGAAAAACCAAATAAGCAGCATCTAATTCAGGCGTTGCTGGAAATTCGATGAACCAATGCAAGGTTAACACTCTCGCACCAACTATTTCATGTTTTTCGCCGGTTACATTCACGCCATAAACAACCTGAAAAGAGCGATTCGTCATCACTCAAATGTTTTCGCCACTTTCAGAAAATAATTCCAATCACTTGGAAAAACTGTTTCGAAGCATTCCTCATTTGGTTGTGGTTTAAATGTCGAACGGGGAGAAGCACCAAATAACGAACGCCTGTAACATTTCTGCGAGAGCTTTAGGTGGATTGAATAATTGGGTTGCTATCAGCATGATGAAATTCTTCACGATAACATATTCTCGTTTAAAGAGTATAGGAAGTTCGACTTTCACTAATGTATGCTGATCAGTTTCTGCAAACAGATCAATGACCGCCGGTGAAAAGTTTGTTTTTACCGAGAGAAGTGGTCAGTTTTACAATAATTTCTGTGACTCACATTGCCAATATCTTTCGGTCTATTGAAGAGATACATAACGGGGTATGAGAGTTGCAGATTAGGATTGTTTTTTGTGTTGCCATCACGAAACAGAACGTATGCATGCTTCAGCCATATATTCAAGTTGTTATCACATTTCTGAAATAATCGTTAATTCACATAAGCACGAATCTAGCAATTCCATTGCCCCACTGATAAATAACTTCAACGGATCACCAACACGATCAGCATTCATTATTCTAGCTGTTTCGGGTAATTTGTTGAT